CAAAGACGCTTCAGTCGTTTGAGTGCGTAGCCACTTGTCCTATATTCTGTCACACAACGATTACCTTGCACAAAATGTACCTAATTATACTTAAATAGTAGGATCCGTCTTAATGATTGTCAATAATACTGTACCTACCGTACCCGTGGAAACGGGCAAATTATGATATTAGGCTGTAAGGCTGTAAAGCGTAACTACGATTAGATAGAGAACCCAGTCGCTGAAAAAACTGTATAACTGTGATGCACCTGCTTCGAAGAGAAACGCTTCGAATTCTCTGATAAGTACGAGTGCAGAATACTAGTTTTCCTATTTACTAAAAAAATGTGATGCTAACTTTTTTAGGTGTCTCCCTCTTCCTTTCCCTTTCCTTCATATCTGTTTTTTTCTTTTTTTCTTTTTTCCTTAGTAACTTAATTTCGTGGGATAGATATTGTTTTTAAAGAAAACTATTTGCACGGTGACTATTTAAAATATTGCAATGTGTACTACATAACCTCTTCGTGCGAATTTGATATTTAAAAGTTTTTCTTTGCGGTATTAATACCTGAAGAACCGATTAGATAATAATATATACTAACTGTAAGGAACATTAGCGTTGATTGAAATGTCAGATTGAATAAGATTTTAACAAGGAATGCTTCCCGTGTGGTTAAAAAGAAAACTGTCGATGAGTTTTCGTAATTTTGTTTTAAGAAATCGGGCATTAATCGTTTTGTTGCATTAATAGATTCGAACAAATCGTACGAATAATACATCAGTATTTACTTTCACGCTTGTTTTACTTCTTTGATTAATTTTAAAAAATTGATTGCTTTTTCTTTCTTTTTCTTTTCTCTTTTAGTGTTTTGTTATTTTTAATTTTTGAGAGAACACGAAAGCAAGCAACTGCAATTGGTAATCCCCTTTGAAATTATTTGTTATCGTAAATATATATGAATCTTCGAAGCAGAGTGCACGAATAATCGTTTATATGAATGTCATAGCCTTAGTTTCGCTAGTTGAGAAGAAGAAAGAATGTTTTAGACCCTTGCTCAATAAATAAAATATTAATTTCGATGTCAAGAATTATATACCGATATTAATTTTAAGTTAGATTCCCAAAGTAAAACAACGTCGACCATTTTCGCGAAACGAATCGAATAAACAACGTACAGGTTAACATGTACACATGTATAATCGTATGCCCGAGGCGAGCAACGGATTCTCGCATCCTCGTTATCGATAATTAAACAAATTGTAGTTGTCCGATCGACATCTACCGTCGAAGTTTCTATAATATGTTTAAGATGTTCTTTCCGATTTTTACTTTGCGTATTTCTTTCGCGTCAGCATCTTCGAGCAAACTTTGTGGAGTTTGTCTTGCGTGGGTGTCTAAAGTTGCATTCTTAAACTCGCGCCGATTTCCGTCGATTTCCGCTCACTCTTGCAAGAAATGACAGAAAGGATTCGTCGGTGAATTTCAAATGCAATATTTGTCGCGCAAAGTTGGACACACACAGGACCATGTTTTCGTAAAAGTAGAAATAAGACCTGAGCTTAATGTATTCTCTCGTGAAACCGTGTATAAAACTCCTGTTTGTACCTTACTAGTTTACTATGATGCTATTATAGATTACGTATAGAGGAATTGAAAGTGAAAGATAAAAGCGATTGAATAAATAAAATGAGAACGAGAGAGCGCGAGAAAGAGAAAGAGCGAACGAGCGAGCGAGTGAAAGGACAAGAGAAAAAGAGATAAAGAAATAGGGATGTTTAGTGTCCATTCGAAAATCACGTTAAGTCGTTTATTTTTCGCTACGAAGCGACAAAAGATTAGTGTTAGTATGATTAGTAACAAAAAATGCGTATTATTATCGTGCTTTCGCTTCGAAAATATTTCATAATTCTAATTAGATTGTTTTATGGCGTATCAAATATAACGCCGCTCGGTGAAAGACTATATCAGCAAGGCTGGTGATTAGACTTCGGTTAGTTTCCTTTTTTATGTTAAGCATGATAACGGTTTAGCAAATGTGTTTTACTGAAAGTGTCCTTCCTATGTAAATTTACTTGTTTGTCCTCATAAATTATAAATAAATAATATCTTTCGTGTTCATGTATCTGCAGTTCTTTTATTCTTCTACAAAAAAATTGATGTCAATAAAAGGGTATGTAATGTTATTTCATATTATGTTACAAATATATTTTTATGTATTATTAATTTAACATCTCTTTACGTAAATAAATTCAAATAATGTAGGATAATAATCGATAACTTATTTTACTAAGTTAAATTATTGTAATTTAATTTTTTAAATTTGTATCACTTTCATCTTCAAAACATATGATTAATTTTAAAGTTGCAGTAAAAATAGAAATTAAATGATAATTTTACTTTTTCAAATAATGCGCGTGCGTATATGCGTACATAAGATTTTCATCGATTATCTTTTCTTTAAAATAATAAATTTATTTAAAGATTTGTTAAATAAACATTATAAACATGCTTATATGAAAACTTGTTTAAAACTTGTAATAATTTTTAAATATAGAAAAAAAACGAAGTAAAAGTATCAAAATTATTACAATTAAATACAAGTAGGAGTAATATAAAAAATGACTTTCTTTTAACAATTAAACAAAAAGCAACTTTTTCTATGAACGTAAATTGAATTAAGTATATTAACAAACATTAATTTATTGATAATTATTCGATATTATATTGAAAAATACAAAAATGAATAAAAAAATTTCTTAAGAAATGTATGTAAAATGAATACAAATATGAAAAATCAATTTTTTAAAAATAAATGTACAACCTATTATATATTCCTTTCATTACTGTTTATAAAATATATTCCAAGTTGTAATAAGAGTATAAATTAATTTTTAGAAAAGATATAAATAAGCAAAAATTATAAGGTATAGTATAATAGCAAAAAATAAAAAACAATTTTAATTTGAAGCTTTCTTCCTTTATGCTCTTTACTCATTAATACACTTTGTACATTTTAACATACAATGTAGACACAGTAGGAAATAAAATTTTGTTAGGAATATAACGAATTATATTTCTTACATTTTTAATTATTGCATCAAAATTTATATGTTTGCTTATTATCATAATTATAGCCATTTAACAATTCCATTATGAAAAACTATAGGATGCTCGAAGACAATATAATTTAATAGTAATAATAGAGGAATATAATATATAAAAGAAAATAGTCACAATGATTGTTTAAGAATCTCAGTAAAGATTACAAGACAAATATGAAAAACTTCATTCGCTGCAACATGGTAATATACAAACATTTATATAAATATCATGTACAAAATGTTTTATATGGCAGCGATATAATCAAAATGTGTTAAATCTGGATTAGGATAATTATTATACAGAGTTAGTCTAGTATATGTATAATATGTACATATAGTACCTACTATTATAAACACATTAAATAAAGCTAAATATAATATTATACAATACCTCGCATATATTTGGTTGAATATTCAATACACAGCAATTTGTATACACATTCTCGTGTGACTAATTTAATTGAACCTAGAATAAGTATTGATTGTAATAGTATTACACTTGATTATGCATAATAAAGCTTTGAATCTGTAATACTGAACTAAAAGTGTACCAAACATAAGGAAGTTTGAAAACATGAGTTAAATAATTTATTTTAAAAAATAATGTTAACAAATGAAACAAAATTTATATATGAATTTTGGTAGAATTAGTTCTCTGATAAATAGAATTTCACTAATTTTATATTTAAAATTATATAGAAAAACAAATAAAAGTAAAAATTATATTTTATTTTAATTTAGAAAATCAGTATTACTATTTGGGTTTTTTACTAATTTTTTTTAGTTTACCTGTTAATAATATTATTACATTATTCTGTTACTGTGTATGCAATATATTTGTTTTATATAAGCTCCAGTCTACGTGTATACAATATACACTATCAAAATAACAAAGGTTTATTGTAATTTTATTGCAATAACTAAAATAATCTATCTTTCAAGAAAATGATTACCTATATATAACAAATAACGAATATTCTTAGTAATGATTCATACTTATTAAAGTCAAAATTTCCTATCTTTGGTACTTAGGCTAAATAATCTAAGCAAACAATTCTACAATATCTATTTATATATGATAATTTAATTAGTAGCAAGTAGATAACAATGATAACATGATTCTTTTGTACTAATTAGTTTGGGTTTCCTTTTTTCATTACAATTTATGATTAGGCTGTTTGTTTCTTTTAATTTTCTATAAATATACCTAACCATGTAAATTTGATTAAATTCTAAAACAAAATACATTTGTAATCATAATTTATACAGGATAAAGCAGATTACATATTTCTATTGATAATCATCATTATAATATTGATAATCATTTTCTAATCAATTTTAAAGTGATTCAATAATAAATGCACCAATTTTTCAAACTCATTTTACATTAAACAAAATTTGAATCTAATAATAAATACTGTTTGCTTTAAACTTAAATGTAAATTTCTAATTATTTTAACTCTCTGAATCATTGGTAGTTTCATCATTCATTTTCTTTTATAGTACAATATACTTCTCAAAGAAAGGTGCAACATACAAGTGCAATCAAATTTTACATTGACGCAATTAATCTCTATACACATATACATAAAATTGAAAACAAAAAATATATGTGTAATTATTTCAATATCATGAACATTATATGTGTACTTGCTAAAGTGCTAAATGAAAAATATGGACATCAAATTGAACGAAGTTTAATTATTTGTTTTTGAATTTCCAAACTATTCTAGGATTTGATATTAATATTACAATAAAAAAAAATCAATTTTTTACTCTTATTTTGATACTACAATTGAAAAAGAATAGTATGTATCACAATTAACAATTGAAATAGAATACCTATCTCTGACTCATACTTTGACATTAAAATATTAGTAATGATATTACTAATATTTTATTAATAAAGCTCTGCCTTTTATATACTATTAATAATTGATTGTAATATCATATTGAAGTTGATTCAGCATTCAATCCTGTTAACATATTATAGTGCTGTCGTAAACGTTTTAAATTAGCTATTAAACAGGCATTTTCTATGTACAAATCTTTTACTAATATATCAGTTCGTGCCAATTGTTCAGCCTGTGAAAAATAATAAAAAAGTAAATATATTTAATCGTAAATTTTATACTGTACTTAAAAAATATTAATTAAGAATTATGTCCAAAAAAATCTCTAATCTTTAAAAAGTTAAGATTAAATTTATATACCTGTTCTGCATTTGTTTGAAATTCTATTTGGAGTTTTTCTTGAGTACTACGAAGGAGACATTGTAATTCTGATATCTCTACTTGATGCTGTGACATAATATCTGAAATAATAACAAATAAATATTTTTGCATATATTAACATAATAATTTTTACATATGAATATTTAAATAAAATTATAAAAACATCTCACGTTGTAATACATGCTCAGTATGATATTGTTGTTGTTTGAACCATTCTTGTAATTGATGCTTTTTACGCTCTTGTATCTGAAGTTTCGTGCTTAAATTCTGCAATATATTAATATTTATGCAACCTACTTGTGAATCGTTTCGCATGCATTGACAGGTTGGAGCTTTTAAATGTTGTAATTTTAATGTGTTCTGTACATAATCATATTCTGCACTGTGAATACTTTCTTCTTTTGCAATTTTTCCATTATCATCAATTGCCTTCCATTGTAGGTCTGGTTTTTCAATTTTATACGTATTATTGACACTTTTCATAGAATATTGGTCACAATTACTACTATCTATATCATCTTTCGTTAATGGTGAAATAAAGTCATTTGATATGATTGAAGATTCCAGAATTCTATTAAATTTAAATTCTTCAGACAAATTACGAATATTATCGTTGCATTGAGCTAACTTTGAAACCGAATCACTGGATGTTTGAACATTGAATAAATCATTAGAAACGTAATTGGATCGTGTTAATAAAGGTGGAAAAATAAAATCATCTGTAACTTGTATGGACATATCAGTCATAATTGGTCGTTCTAAAGATTTTATTTTCTCATGAAAATCTTGAATTTCTTTATCTTTTTGGGACAATTCTTCTTCCATTTGCACTTTCCATTTTTCAAATTCTTCTTCCAGATCTAAATACTGTGTAAATAAAACAATATACATGCAAGTAGACAGTAGATTTTGAATATAATTCAATGAATTTTAATAATTTAATGATAAATTAAAAAATAAAAAGGTAGAACACATTATGAAGAACATCTTATCTAACTTTATCATTTAAAATATCTTTTTTTATTGTAAAATTAAAGAGAGAATTATAATAATTAACAAAATACTTATTTATATATATAGTAAGGAAATGAAAAAATATATCTTACTTGTTGTTCTAAATTAAACTTCTCTTCAATTGGAGATAAACGTCCACCATTTTTTACTTTGTCTATTGGACTAATTAATTCTTCATACTCTGCCATTTTAGCTATAAGTTCTGAAAATTTCTCATCACTAATTTTTTGTTCCTGTTCAAAAAGTTGTCTTTCTTCTTCTAATTTAGCAGTCCAATAATCTTCACACTCTTCATATTCTATCTTTAACATATCAAGACTTCTTTCTAACTCTGCACATTGTTCAATCAATTGTTTTTTTTCAGCAGCATGAGTTGCTTCAAGTTCTTTCAGTTTTAAATTTAGAAAAACGTCCTCTGATGATTCACTTTTTATTAAACTCGAGTTACATCTTGTACCAATTTCAGGAGTAATCTTTAAGGACTGAATGACTAAAGCATCCTTTTCCTTACTTGACTTGGAATCTACATTCAAATGCTCTTCTTTACGAGGAGGATAATCTCTAAGACTTGAAACTTTATTTTGTGTTGAATTTTTCGTATCTTGACTAAAGTTATCAACATCACAATTATCATCATTACTATTCGATGGTACTGTTCGTTTAATGGAAACAGAATTCTTATGTTTGGGGACAACAAAATCTCTTAAAGATTCACTTGTTCGTTCCTCACATTCTGTTTCTATTTCAGATGCAATACTTTTGACAAATTCAGTCTCTTTGAAAATTTGTGTATTTAAATTGGATTGTAATCTCATAATCATTCCTGATATTTCATCTTTAAATGCACAGTTTTCTATGGTACACTTGTTATTATTTATTAAAATATTTTTTAACTGTTTTACAACTACATCTTTAAACTGTTTTAAATCTATCTTTTTATAATTTTGAATATTATCTTCTTCGTTGGAATTACAAGACAGCTACATAAATGGAGTAAAATAAAAATTAGAAGTTCTTTTAAATATTAAATAATATATGTTATTAATCATTACTTACAAATGTGGAATGTTTTAAAACAACATCTAAATCATCTTCTTCAACTGCAAATGTCTCTTTGTCTGAAAATAGATTAAACAATTTTATTTTATTAAAAGATAAGTTTAAAGGAAGTATACAAAATTATTCTTATTACTTTCAATTTCATTTGGCAGTGTATTCCTTATTATGTGAGTGCCAGGAAGATTATTCTGTCTGCAATAACTAAATAGAGAAGCAATATTTAGTTTTATTTATATTATTTATTAAAGTTACCTATTTTACACAGTATTTAGTTTTACGTATTACCTTATATCTTTATTATGGCGATCACGTAATTTAAAACTTTCTAATTCTGCGGTAAGTTCGTCATTTTGATCTCGTAAAAGTACCGCTTCTGATTGTAACTGCTTGATACGATCTACCAAGTATATAACTTCTTGTTGATGTTTCGCCTCTATATTTTCCGACTTTATAAAATTATAATTATATATGAGATAAATATAAAAACGATTTATATTTTAATTAGAAAAAAATTATTTAAATACCTCATCATGCTCTGCTGCTAACACTTTTATCTGAGCGAATAACTCATTGTTTGACTGTTTAAGTTTCTCAATTTGACTATGAAGATTCTCATTTTCAGTTTCTAAAACTTGATTCTCTTGTAATGTGCTTACAAACTTATTTCTAATCTCATGATTTTCTTTCTGCAATACTTGTATTTGATCATCCTTTGATTTCACGACACTGGCACTCATTTCTCGTTCAGAACTAAGTTGATTTGAAAGATCTTGTACAATTTCAGTATGACGTTGTTCAATTTGTTTTCGTAAATTTTGAACAATTTCTTCTTGTCGAATATGTTGCTCATCAATCTCTTGAACAAGAGTGTTCACACGTTCATTAGCTTCTATAATATCAGTACGCAGTTTCTCTTTTTCACCATTTATATTTTCTATCATAAGGCTACAAATATCAGAACATTGTTATTAATTAATTAAATTTCATCTAAAGTATATATTTATACAAGTTGTGATACTTACTTTAAGCTATGTAATTCTTTTTGATATAATATAAGAACATCTCTTAATAACATTATATGAGATCGAACTGCAGAGTGATCTAATGAATCATTAAAATTTTTCAACTCATCACATAAAGTAGTTGTTAAATCAGTTAAAGAAATTTCAGATGTTTTAAGACCTCCATCCATTAATAAAGATGTATTTGTAATATTAGAAAATTTCCATGTATCCAGAAAAGTATTATTTCTTGTAAAACTATTATATAAAAAATAAGAGTAAAATGTTTTATAAATATTTATAGATATAAAATTTTGAAATTACTGAATAAAAATATTGAGAAATAATAAATCTTGCCCTAACAGTAATAGTGAGTATTACAAAGTAATGTACTGGTGAAAGTTATGTTAGAAATAATAATTATAGTACCTAGTTTTACGAGGAGTATGTATATCAAAGTTCCGTTTCCTAAAATCTAATTTAGTTAACTCGTTTGCAGGTTCATTATTCTTATCTAGTGCTACTTGATTTTCCATTGCCTTATTTTCAAATATAATAAGAAATTCATCTAAACTAATTAATCCATCACAATTCTGATCAAGTTTTTCAAAGATGCACTGTGAAATCTGTGTAAAATAATATTTTGTTACTATAAATTATTTAACTTTTTATTAAATAGAAATTAATATAAAAAAATTTAATTATAATAAACTTTTAATATATTTTTCCTAATTATTAATTACATAAATAACTGATGAAATATATTATATATGAAAAAAAATTGTGTCATGGTATTACTTGTTTTGGAAGAGCTGGGATTCCTAGACAATTAGATATAAAAAACATTGTTGCCGAGTCCACATTTTCTTTTAAACAGGTGTTTATCTTTTCCCATAAACATTTTAGTCTATTTTCATCTACTGCTGCATCTAAAGTTAATAAAACATTAAAAATACAAAAAAACAATACAAAACCATGAAAAATAATATAAACAATGTAATTACCTGTTTTTCCATTTAAAAAATCTACATTAGAGCTAGAATTATTAGGTGGTAAAGAATTGCATCTTTTATTATCTATAATATGTGAATTTATGTCATTTTGTGATTCTGTTATACAATCTTTGTCTGTCTGTGTAATTGAGTTTTGTGTTTTCCCTAATAATGTTAATAAGGCAGCTCTAAACTCTTGGAATGATATAGATTGCTTTTCTTGTTTATGTTGCTGGATGCATGACTTTAATTCTTCACTCTGTTCAGTCAAATGTAATTTATGACATAAACTGAGCCAGTTATCTTCTTGTAACTCAGTTTCTCCTTTTCTTAAACAACTTTGAAATACAGCATAAAGCTGTTGTTCATAAGGATCATTGTTGTGTTCATCCATGGCATCCTTTCATTGTTTTTTGATATGTCATAAAGTATAATAGATCTATAATTATATTACGTATAATTAGATATATTAATACAAATACTGAATAAAATTTCTTAAGCCCATAAAAAAAGTAAATAGTAATATATAACTCAAATTCTGACAAACTTTAAAAAATATATTGTTTTATCTGTTACCAATAATATAATCAGTATTATTCATAAAATTATATTTATTATATATGTACATCGATAATATAAATTTAATAATCTTCAAAGTGCCTAAAATATTATTTTTCTTATATTCTTTAAATAAAATTTCAACTATTGTATAAAATTATACTTTCACAATTTTATTATCTTGACAAGTAAATTTATAATTTTCAAATTATCATTACTAATTTAACAGTTTGCATGTTAATAAAAAAAATTAACGATTCCTTTCTAATACAAAAAATAATTCATATCACATACAGTATCAATAAAATCTAAAAATTTCCAAAAATATACTATATTTACAATACATTAACAAAAGTAATGTATAATTATTTTACATTAATTATTTAACTATTAGCCAGAAACAAATAAGTAATAATGTTGTAAACTAAAAGTCACATTTATCTATTATAGCAGAACTTTAATTGTTAAATTAATTAATTAAGTTTATTTGAATTGACTAAAGCTTATTAATATTAATGATAAAACCATTAATATTAATCTTTTAAACGATCAAGATATATTTAATAAAATATTATGGATATGTTAACCTAAAATATAAGTTTGAGTTAATAATTTACAATATCCAATATATTAGGAATATAAGTGTATACGCACTAATCATCTGCATAATAAATAAATTATGAAAAAGTATAATATCAAACTTACGTTATTTTTAAATTGCGTAATAAATATGTTACAAAATAAATTATATTTACAAGATAATAATGACATATACAAATTTAAAAAATGTCATGCTACTCAAATATAAAAGGGAATTAATTTCAAAATAATAAAATTTATTATTATAATTTTTCATTACACAGAAAATGAAATATCTCAGTTATAAAATGATTATAACCTACCATTAAATTATAAAGTTCGTTTCACAAATCACGCACACGCATTTCTACTATCTATCTATCTATCTATCTACTTTGTGTGTATGTGTGTGCGCGCGCGCATGTGTATAGATATAGATATATATATAGGTATGCATATATATATTTCTGTATGCATGAACACATGCTCATACACATATATGACGCATATGTATCCATGGTAATGAATATATAATACGCCGCGACAGCCCATAAGCCTCAGGTATATGGGTAGCTATAAATGCGCATGTATATGTGCGTGGTTAACATACTGATGAAAGTAAGAAACGTATAGCATCATAATATATTTCACAAATATGTATATACTGTACTTTCGACAGTTAACTTTAATTTGACAGTTTCTTTAAGAAATTAAAACTTTCTTTCTATCATACAATTAAAAAAAAGTAAACATAATTTAAATATATTAAATCACAATGACAAACGATAGATGGCACTACATTTCATAGTGATATTATAGCAGTAATTTAAATATAAATATATTTATGATTTATTTTTTATATTTTATTTAATGAGTTTAAGACTTATAGTATTTTAAAAAATGAACAATTATTCTATTATCAAAATACATAAAAATTGATTATAAATATTATCGAATTTATTAATCCAGCAATCAAATTTTATCATATCAATTTTAGGATGAATTTGCGAAATTCATTTTATTATTTATAAATGACATCATAAAATACAAAAAAATTTTTTTAAATTACTTAAATAATTCAAATATATAAATAGTTTAAAATTGTAGTATAGAGACAAATACCTTCATTATAAGATTTATATGTTTCCAAAAATTAATATAAAATAAATATAATTACTGAAAATTTAAGAAATTTAAAAAAATTGAACATATTTATATTGCTGTCATAAAAATTACGTGTAGCTACATTGATTTGTAAGTCACACATCTAGTATTATTGTAATCATCGATTCTACTTTGGCGGCAATGCGAATAACTGTAATGTTAGTGTAACTTAACTGTACATATGGTTAGTTTTGTTGGTCAGTACTGTGTATTGAAACGGAAAAATGGGTATTGCCGGCTTACTTCCATTTTTAGAAAAAGCTTCAAAAAAAACAAATATTGATCAATTCTCTGGTGGTGTTGTTGCTATCGATTCTTATTGTTGGTTACATAAAGGTGTATTTTCCTGTGCTGAAAAATTGTCAATGGGACAACCGACAGATGCGTAAGAAAATTATTATAGTTTAAGCACATTGTTAATACAAATAATAATTTTTTGACCTTTACTTTTTTCTAGATATGTTAATTATTGTATGAAGTTCATATATATGTTGTTATCTCATAAAATAAAACCAATTCTTGTATTTGATGGAAGACATTTACCTGCTAAGGCACAGACTGAAACAAAACGACGAGAGTATGCATAATTGAATTTTTCTTTGAAAATTTATGATAAAACTTCTATAGAATTAAGAAAACACTTAAAATAGTAATTAATATTAAATTAAATTTATTGAATTTTGTTTAATTAAAATTATTCGTAATTATAATTGAGTAATTGGATAATTTATTGTAATAGTAGTATTAAATAATTTTATTTTAATAGAAGATATCATTAGTAAAATAAATTATTGGAACATTTAATTACTTTAATAATCTATATTTATATATTTAGAAATAGACAGACAAACCGTCGCAAAGCTATTGAGCTAATACAAATGGGGCAACATGCAGAGGCAAGAAATTTACTAAGAAGATCCATAGATGTCACACATGAAATGGCTTTAGAATTAATTAAACAGTGCCATAAAATGAATATTGATTGTATTGTAGCACCTTATGAAGCAGATGCACAATTAGCATACCTTAATATCAGTGGAATTGCCGATGTTGTTATTACTGAGGATAGTGACTTAACGTTATTTGGTTGTAAAAAAGTTTGTATTTCTCCATTTTGTATAATTTATTTTAAAAAATTTTATAAAGTTAAGTTTATGGATTCAGAAAAGTGCAAAATTTATTATATATTTTTCCATATACTTATACTATAGGTATTGTTTAAAATGGATATAAATGGCAATGGATTATTAGTTAGCCAAGATAAATTGCATCTTGCAATGGAAGTAAAATTTGAACATTTTAGTATGGATGATTTCCGTTATATGTGTATTCTATCAGGCTGTGATTATTTACCATCTCTCCCTGGTATTGGATTAAATAAAGCACGAAAATTTATTATGAGAAATACAGACTGTGATATACATACAGTAAATATTTTTACATATGTATTTGCAAATTAAATTTATGTATAACTCTACATATATGTAAGTATGCATTTATTTTTATAGGCTTTAACTCGATTAGGATCTTACTTAAATATGAAATCTCTAGTTGTTACAAAAGAGTACAGAGATTCATTTATATTAGCAGTTATTACTTTCAAACATCAGTTAGTATTTTGTCCTTTAAAAAGAAAACAAGTTCGTTTAAATCCACCTATGTCTGATGTAACTGAAGAACAATTATATTATGCTGGTGTGGAAATAGATTCAGATACTGCATTACAACTTGCATTAGGAAATTGTGATCCTTTTACTCTAAAAGTACTACATAATTTTGATCCTGATAAAATAAGGGTAAAGACTATTAATATAATTATTTTTTAATTTTTCTTATGGAAAATTTAAGTATTTATTTATTTATTCGTTTTTTCAATATAAATATATACATCTAATTTTCTTATCATGCAAATAATGAAATATTAAATATCATAGAATCTGGATTTTTCTAGATTGAAAATAGTAAACGTAACACATGGTCACAAAAAAAAGAATTATCACGACATATTAGTATTTGGTCAAAAGAATATGAATTAATACAAAATCATTTACAAAAGTCTTCTCAAAAAGACAGTCCCATGAATTTGTTTAATATTGTTAATCAGAAAGTGATTCTCCATACAAGACCTTTAAGAAAACCTATTTTGATGAAACAACAGGATAATTCTGGTATAAAATTTATTGTATACATAAATATTAATTTACAAATAGTTATATATATTTACATACATCTTTAGAAAACGAATAAAAAATACTATATATATCATTACAGAATGTGAACAATTGAACCAAAAAGAAATTTTAGATGCATATGAATCTAGAAATGTCAAAGATACTGAAAATAATTCAGATGTAAATACTTTTATTCCTAATAACAATGAAGTATCTCCCATTTTAATTAGAAGAACAAATCCATTTTCAAAACAGTTACCTAATATTAAAACTTCTCCAAGTCTTCTATTTAGAAGTAAAAGTCGAATAAAGGGAAGAAACATAATGCGTAAACGAACAATTATAGATGAAAAAATTGTTACAGAAAGTAAATTTTTTCCTAAAACAATTACCGAAGAAAATCATATAATGGATGACACATATACAAACTTAAATAATATCTTATTAGAAAAAGAAAATATGAAAGCAGATGCAAATAATGAAATAACAAATATCAATTTACAAACTTTAACAGTATCTAATGAAGGGAAAATGAATTTATGTCCTATGGATATAGATGAAGAACATAATACATCATTTGTAACAAATGAATGTAAAGATGTTGAATGTTCAAACATTCTTTTTAATTGTGATTTAGAAAAATCACATTTGGATAGTTCAATAAATGAATCACAGACAGTACATAATATAAATGAAGTACAAAATTTAAATACTTCATTGACATCAGTAGCTGATATAAATTCCGATTTTTTAATTCAACAAGGAGACATAGATACTTTAAACAATAGTTTATTCAATTGGTCTGATACGAAAATAAGTATAAAAACAAGTAATAAAGTTAAACAAAACAAAAGCAACAATTCTTTAAATTCTCATACAGTGAGTAAATTTATCTTATAAGCATTAATTCATAGAAATAAAACAAGAAAGTTAATGTCATTAAAAGAATATTATTTATGATTTAAAAAAAAATATTAAAAGATAACTAATAACATTTGTACAGTTGTTTTAAGTATAGTTTAAATTTTTATTATTGAGATGGAATTATGTATTAAAATATATTCTTTCAGTCTGTAAAGAATAGAATAAAAACAACAAATAGTACACGACGAAGCCAACAGCTTAATTCAATACAAAAACAACAAAGTTTATTAAGCATGTATGGATTTGAAAAAAAAAAGTGAGTAATATACTTTTTAATTATTTTTTTGTATCTAACTACATTGTTTATTTATAGGATTACATTTAACAATTTGTGATACCAACTATATGAAAATGACTATACAACTATGTGTATTGTATTATTATAATTACAAATTATTTATAAAGATACTAAAAAACTTCGTATTATAAGTTAGTTATAAAGATATTAAAAAAAGTGATATATGTACAAGAAAATTTTAACTTTATTATAATAAGAATACTTTATAATAAAACATTCTTCTACCTAAGTATTGAATATTAAATATGCTTTTACATGGAAACTCAATTGCTTACATTATTTGGATCCTCCCATGGTCGAGGAATACGAATATTTTCCCAATTATCAATATCCAAGTCCTATAAATATTAGATTAAATACCACATATAATTATATTTCATTACATTATTGTAACGTAGTAATTACAATGTAATTATATTACATTATTATAATTTAAACAAATTTGTTAATATTTCTAACATAAACTTTTTACATAATTATTATATTTTCAGTAATAACAATATATTCTTTTATATTAGCAAAAATTAATTCATTATCAAATAATTTGTTACTTCATATTATAAGATCGATATAAAATAAAAACAGTATAAAATATTGCTTTATATTTTCACTTTTATTATTACTAGATATATTATTTGAATACTTTACTTCTCTTTTAATGGTATTTAAAAATAATTTTGTGCTCAAAATGACAAAAATGGTGCTTCTAAATATTTAATTTAAACTTTGATAAAAGTTTTGTAGTTGAAGTTTACATACTTTTAATTTTTCATATTCCTCTTCAAGTGTAGTAAGTTTTTTCTTTTTTATGTCATATTTTTCTACTAAATCTTTTGCATCATACGTTGTAATATTTCGATACTTAAATCTAAAAAAATCAAAATAAATTAGTTAACCTCATCAATTACTATAATTTGAAATTTAAAACACATACTTTACACGTGCGAATTGTTGAATATAAAATGAACCTCCAATAACAAGTATCATAAATGGTAAGAAATGTCGAAAAAATTTGGTCTCAAAAAATCGTGTCATTATTTTAAAGGTTATGTAATATATGTACTAACGAACAAAATTTATGTGTAAAGATGTTTGCAACATTGCCATTACTTTTTTAATTTATAGAATCATGCATTACTAATGTATATATAAAAGTTATTAAAATAATATTAATCACAGTTATGAAAAATCAAAATAGAATTTTCCCATGTAAATATATAATTGGAAATAAATCTTAACAAATATTTACTTATCACATTTATATATATATACGTTATTTAGTTATTAAATTTATATTATTTTTTTAATAATTATTTGCAATATCAATTCATATAATTACTGTATAGTAATTGAATTATTGAAAATATTATTGTAAAAGATATATAAATAAAATATTTTTTATTTAGTTTATATATAATAATTTTAGAAAAAATTGTATTGTATTATTAATAACATCATAAATAAAAAATTTGCCTAAAGAATTTAAATAAAATTTAATTAATATTGATTAAATATCATAATTAACATATCTAAAATAATTTTAGGTAATCTATAAAATGAACTGTTTTAAATACAATTTACTTTAAAAAGTATATTTTAATATTTTATTAAAAATTACATATGTATAATTTAAAATTTTATTATTTTAAATAATTTTTGTATAATAAGTACGTTTAATAAAAAAATTAATTAATTATGAAGTAATAAAATTTTATAAAACTGTTATATTGTTATTTTGTATTATTTTAATCTTTTTATATCAGTACTATTATTTGTTTACGTAATGTAATTACAATGAAAAGCTAATGTTAATCAATGTTAATGTTGTTAATTATGGTATATTTTTTATTCAGTTTTTGATGAATTCAAATTGATAACAGATTTTACTTGACCAATAAAAATCACTAAAATATATCGATTTGTGCGAATCTTTTGAGCGAGAAATGTGAAAATAATGATGATTATAACTTCATTATTTAAATTTTGTAGTTAAATGTATTTGTCGATATTATTAGTCTAATAATAACAAGTTGAAATAATTTAAGCAATTTAATAAGAAAGAGAAATGAATCTAGTTTTAAATTTTACTACAGGTTAAGTTGACATACAACGTTCTTATTTGTTTTAATTTGAACACTATTTTTATCAAAAATAGAAGCAATTGCAATATGAACATTTTGCCAGGGACAGCAACTCTTCTTGAAGAACTTGACAGTACGTATGTATGTTATAAATGTGCTATTTATTAGGTTATACTGATTTGTTATTAAATTTTTTCATATTCTTCAAAATCGCTAATTTTATATGAATTATATTAATACAAAACAATTCATATAATATTTAATATAAATTATTTTTTTTACCCCAAGAAATTTAAGTATTTAAAGCTAATAGTCTATATTTATGTATTTTTTCAAATCATTAATAATTAAGTCTAGAATAAAATTTAATACACTTTATTTTAATGCTTACTTTCATAAAAATTATTTTTATTTTCATGAAATATCTATATAATTTTGATTTAGAAAAGCTTATGGTTTTACTAAGAGATGGCAGAACTTTGATTGGATATCTTAGAAGTGTTGATCAATTTGCTAATATTGTACTTCATCGTACAATTGAAAGAATTCATGTTGGTAAAGAATATGGAGACATCCCGAGAGGCATTTTTATTATAAGAGGAGAAAATGTTGTGCTTTTAGGAGAAATAGTAATATCTTTATGTATAAAATTATTTTATTTAAAAAAAGAAAATGTATATTAAATATTTGAATGGAACAATATAATCTTTATTATAGGACAGAGATAAAGAAAGAGATTTACCATTAACTGAAGTATCTGTTGATGATATCTTAGATGCACAAAGACGAGAACAAGAATTAAGACAAGATCAAAGACGATTAATAAATAAGACTCTGAAAGAACGAGGTATATCACCATATGTTCCAGATGTGGGTCATGATGATATGTTCTGACCCACATCAAAATCCTTGGTTACCAATACATTATCATCCATGTCTTCACATAATTCTAAAACATATGATACATGTTAAACATCACTTTCTCTCTGATTATATTTAACAGTATCTGTGAAATGTGAATACATCATATAATTGTGAAGATATAGTTTTTACTTGTATCCTATAATTTCTTAAACTATGACATAATAGTATAATTGAAATTTGATGCATAAAATGTCAATGATATGTGAATTTATATAGTTTTAGTCTTATTATATTAATCCTGTATTTAGTATGATGAATGAAGAACATTATGATTGTATCATATTTTTAAAGATCTTCAAACTTCTATTATATACAAATATTATATTTAAGTAGAAATCTATTACAATTGATATATAGTCTTTTACTGACTACAATTCATAAATGAACATATTAATTACATTTACTAATTTCTAGCAATTGTATATTTTTCTATGATCAGTTTTACATATCTTATTTTGTATGAAAGATTCTTGTTTCAATAATTTCCTTGTATTTCAAATTAAAAATAAATATGAATAATATAAAGAAAAGCTTAAGAGAATACAAAAATTGTCATATAAATGTTACTTATGTATTTACATGTTTAATAAATTTACAAAATATATTTTGTTAAATATGTATAAATCCATTTCATGATTCAAAATATTAATTTTATTTAAAAATTCTACGATATATATCTAAAACTTAATTCAAATAATAAATATGCATGAAAACAATATAATACCTTATGGTAATTACCTTTGACAATTAAAGTTTTTTTTATAATTGTTCATACAATATTAAACGAAATATTGCTTAAGATCTAATGCTTTCATATGAATTTATTTAAATTTATATGATACATGTTATATTGTACTTTAATTTTTGCATGAACATCATAAAGATGTATTATATATACAAAAGCATTAATAAAATAAAATTTTTAAATTATTGTATCCTTCTTTTTATTGCCTATAATAACTTCACTGCGGTATTTATTAATATATTAGTTTTTAAAATCACAGATTTTACCTATTCTTAACAAGTAAATATTCATTATATTATACATATGTATGCAAAATTTTTTTATTTTCTTTTAAAAATATTTTGATAGCAGAAAGGATACAATGTCATTAGATTTTACAAATTTGAAGGTAAAATATAACATAAATGTAAAAAGATTTTTATTTATTTTTATGCAAAAAGGTTTATTCACATATATATAATGAATAATTTAACAAAATATGTAATGTATAAAATTTAGGGCAGAATATAAATTAAAAGTATCTAGTACAAAACTATTCACTATATAAATAATATGAATTTCACTGTATCATATGTGATGTGCCAATCCTATTTTGTTATAAAAGTATAAAAGCAATGAAAATTTTTAAATAAAAATTTACGCAATGAATGTATACTTTAGAATTTTGTTTTTACAAACATTTATAAACAAACCTATTATAGGTTTTTACGTTAATTTGTCTTTTCACAATTAAAAGTATCATTAAAATGAAAAAGTGTGCATAAAGATACAAAAGTTTAGTATATATTGTGATTATGTCACTTTGTCAAAATGAAGTTTCTTGAAACATATCTTTTATTTTCACCGAACTTAATGTTGATTCGCTTAATTGTTTATGTCTAAAACCATGTCCTCGTATATTCCTCGACGTTCTGCTTTCCTTTATTGATCTTTTAGAATCATTACGCTGTAAACTAGTTGCTCGTTTTCTTGGCGAACTTGCCATTTCATCATTCTTTTCCGACGAATTATTAGCACTGTTAGTACTACCAGATGCGATACCAGATGTATCAGATTCTGGTTGATTTCCATTTAAACAACAAAGTAAGCTCTCAGATAGACCATCCTCATTTAGAATGTTTAAATCAGATTCTGATTGTTCAAAGTCTCCTGTACGCGATGAGAAACTGAGATCAACAGGACTAGCAGTTAATACACTTCTAGACAATAAATACTCTCTAAATGTACTCGTTATAGACATAGTACTTTGTTGTTTGATTGCATAATAATCATCAGTAATTGATGTAACAAATTTTCGTTTTTCCGTTGCATTTTTACTTATGTTTTCTTTATCCTCTAAGTCAATACCTTCACTGTATATTATTTCATTGACTATACTATTAGGCTTATGAGATTCTTCTAGAATTGAAGTACAGTTCATTGAACTAATAATATCAAGATTTGATCCATGCACATTATTAGATATATCTTGTTGATGCCAACTATTATTAACAGAGGCAAGATTACATAGATTTGATCCAGAAACCATCATTACAGGTTTTCTAGATCGTGGTGTCATCATTGTTTCCTATAATATAAAAAATGATGAGATTAGATTAGTTAAAAATTTACAATTATATATGTAAATTATAGACAGTTTTATTAAATTATCATAAACATAAACAGTAAAATAATAATATTAAAAACAATAGAATATTCATACCTGCATAGCTTTTGTCATTTTAGTAGCGCTTTGTGTAATTGGACTCATGCTTTTATCATTGTTAGTAGTAGGAGTTAACATGTAATCATTAGTGACTAAGCTTTTGCGTAATAAATTCGATGGCGTCGATGTATGAGCAACATATACATTCCAAAGTCTATTCTTTACAACAGGGGACAAATGAACACATGCATTATCAGTGTGTGATTCCAATTTTGAATATTCTACTGATTTCTTGTTGTCTTCACTACACTTAATTAAGGACGTATCATCACGAGTTGCTTCTGATACTGAAAATGTAGGTTCTGAACTTTGTCTAAATAATTCATTTTCACTGATTTCGTTTAAAGTCGTTTGAGAAGAATACATATCTGGTGGTTCACTGAATTGTCTAGATAATCTAGCAGTATTAGTTGTAACATTATTATCTTGTTCTAATTCTTTACTATCAAAATCTTGTAATGATACATTTGCATTACTTGACTTTGAATTTATAGATTCTTCTATATATGATCCCTTTTCTGATTTATGTATGTCCCAGTCATTATATTGATCATCCATTTGTTCCTCTTTTATATTTACAAACCTCATTAATAGAGCCTTTCTCTTATCTTTATAACTCCTTAATGAAGGAGTATTAAGACTACCAGTACTATTACTAATATGTTTAGTATGAAGAAGACTGTCATTATTTGTATCACAGTTTTCCATGCTAAGTTCATCATCTGATTTACTCAGCAATACTTTTGTTTGTAGTAATGATTTTTCTAGATTCTGTGTAATAACAAACATGCATTGAAATGTATTAATTATAAACTGTTATCATAGATCATATGTTATGAAATTAACATGCTGTTACAAAATTAACAGATACTGATTATAGAAAATATTATGTTCCATATTCTTACCGATGATAATATGTTTTCTTCACTACTTGATCTAGTGATATTGCAACCTATATTAATGTCAAATTTTTTATATCCCAAAATCTTTTTCTGGAATATGTGTTTTTTAATTGAATCTCCAAGACTCTTAGTTCGGAAATGTTTTACTTGTCTTGGTGTGCCTTGACCATTTTCTTTATTAAATTGTTTTACAAGTCTGCGCTTCTTAGCTGATTCTGGCATAGCTTGTATATGAGCATAAAGTTGTGCCAATGCTGCTTGAGTATCTTGTGTAGAATTTGCCTTTGCTGTTAACTTATGATCCACAAAACTAAATACCGTATGTGCTGTACCTGTTGTATCTGGTATAGATTCATTTAACTGAAATAATATATAATTATTTAAATTGTAATAACTGATTATATTATATATATTACACACTTAACAATTTCAACAAAGAAGAAACTTACATTTGTATCTTTAGGACTTAATAATTTTCTTTCTTGTTCTACCCAATATGCTCTAATATCTGTAGCAAGTTTTGGTGGAATTTCAAATAATTCATTTTCTTTTCTGATCATGAAAGCAACCAAACATGATAAATTTTGAGAATTAATATGCAAAGCTTCTGGTGACAATTTTCTTGGACACATTAAATGTGGAGTAAAAAGAGTAGCAAGACTATCACAATTCATTTTGTTATTAGATTCAAAACTAGCTGTCTTACTGAGAAGATTCAAGACATATTTAAGTAAGATTCTATTTATGGATGGTAGAAGTAATAAAAGCAATTGTAAAGATCTTAATAATCTAGCATCGTTCCCACTCATATTAGAATTACATAATTCTAAAATCAATAAAAATAAAGTTTCAAGTAAAATGTAAAAATAAGAAAATTAAACACAATTTGATTAATTTTTTACCTGCAATTTGACAGTGTGCTGGGTAATGCAAATCTGATAACAATGGTTCTGGTAATTCAGCCAAAAAACCTTTTAATACTGATGCACAATCATGTACACTATATCGACCATCATTAAGATTTAATGGAATACCTTGATACATTGCAGTTTTTAAATCTTGTTGTCTTGTTAGTTTGCCAGTGCGTCGAAATATGCCTTCTTGTATAATATCTTAAAAATTTTTAAACATAAAAATAAAAGAAAAAGAAATTATTTAAATATTTTCTAAATAATATAAACTTCTATAATAATTAAATGTTTAGTTACTTTGTTCTTTGGATAAATATTCTATTAACTGCTTTACTTGATTTATTCCATTTTCAGATAAACTAGCACCTTCAACTCCTCTTTGTAAATTAATTGTTGACTTAGGTTTCTTTGAAAAACTCAAGAGACCCCATTTTTTCAATTTTGCCTTTTCATTGATACAGTCATTGCTGTATAATGCAATAATTAATTTTACAATTAATAAAGTTTATTTAATATTAACAAATAATTTATGAAATTATAAAATCAACTTTTAAATGCAAAATTTAGTAACATTAATTATCATCTTACTCTTCAGTATTAAGATCTAATTCAAAAGACAGATGCATTTTGACAAGTGTGTGAAACTGTTCTGGATTGACTTTTCGCATTCTAAAAGCCAATTTACCATCCACACCATCGTTAAAATCTTCCATTGTCAATTCCGCGATAACGACGATTTAAACACGTTCTGACATCTTTGAATTTTATACACACGTTCGTTACTGTTTCATTAAAAACGGTTATTTTCATTCTGATTTTTTACTGTTCCTGAAGTCATGTATCCAAATCATTTTTTATAAAATAATTAAAGCAAAAAGTCAATATAATAGTTAAATTATAATACACTAGTATTTTCATTCATTCGTATTTCTTCTATGAAGCCATTCAACCAATCCAACATGATATTTATCATACAGTAGTAACGGTATATAGTAAGACAAAACTAGGATTGTTTTTTAACACCATCTGGTGGTAGATATAAAAATGTGCTTGTATTATATAAATATTATAAATGTTATTTTATAAAATTTTGAAACGATAAAAGATGAATAATTTAATGAGTTATAAATTAGTTTTTTAAATATATTAATTATAAAAACATTATTTAGCTACATAACTACATAGCAAAAATAATTTTATAGTTTTTTGTCCAAATTTTGGTATTCCTAAAAATACTATAAAAATAGTCACAATTAAGTATTAAAATTATATAATAATTTTAGACGCAAAAATTATATACCGTATATATTTACATTTAAAAATTATTACTCTCTATTAATTTTTCGTAGTAATTTTAAGCTTCTATCAAATTATAATACTATTATATTAAAATAATTTTGTATTCGAAAAATATTTTACTAAACAAATTTTTTAGAAATCTTGAACATGAATTTTTCTTATTGTACTATAGTACAAAATTATAAAAAAAATTAACATTTCGGCGTTAATGGGAAAATGCTTTACAAAATATAATCTTTAAGAAAAATACTTGTATTTAAAAATTTTGCTCACTTAAATACAAATGTTTGTTAAATTTGAAATATTTTTTTATAATTAATCAATAATAACATATCATGAATTATTTATCGTCAGTTTTTAAATAATCAGTTGGCAATAGCTCAAATGAATGTTATATTTAAATACGACGTAAGCATACCAAAATACAAAGAATTACAATCCAATTTTAAATTATCAAATGCTATCATTAAACGATTTATAGTCAATAATTAATCGAATAATATTAATCAATTTCTTATAGTTTTCAAAGTAAATGCATTTTATAATTTGTTCATATCGAATAGAAACTAATTCTTTTTCATTGCTTAAACGAATCGGAACTTTTTTTTGGTTACCAACCACTACATAATATTATGGAAAGATAATAAAAATGTTACATAGAAGGACTTGCGATAACGAAAAGCGAGGTTGGCAGACGTAAAACACCTGTGACGATTATTAGTTCAATGGAACGTGGAAGGGATAACATGGCCACCGCCTGGTGACGTTCGTTCGCCGTCGCCGTCGCGATATCAAATGGTCTCAAAAACAGCTGGTGAACATTTATCAGTGTAAGTTCCGTAGTTTTTACACGGAAAACACGTATTATATTCAGTGAGGAGTATAAAATACAATGATGAACATGTGGAAAGTGCGGGAGTTAATGGACAAGGCGTAAGTACAATTAAGTCAGTTACACGCGATCTAACCTTGCTTTTACTTTTTTCGACGCATTCCACTCTATTTGCTTCGATACGCTGCACGATTTTTCGTTTACCTCTAATTTTACATTTGTTGATAGTCACTTTACTTACATTGTTTAACGCATTATTCACGCATTTTTAACCTTATATTTAAACATCTTTTTTCCCATTAATTGAGTATTCACAGAAAATAAATAAATGATCCTTTGCATTTATTTTCGGATTAGTTTTTCTTATGTTTTTTAAGTTAAGATAAGTTAATATATCATATTGTTTCAGTAACTTGCAGAAAAATAATTATTTATTTAATCGAATAAAAATTTTGTACATCAAATAATAATTAAAAAGCGTGTAATCGAAGAAACTAATATGACTATAGAAGGACAAAATAAGTACTTGTTTTACATTATGCATTTTATTAATAATATAGATATTCTAATACCGCTTGTTTACTTGTTTTTTTTTCTATTTGTTATTGTTATGAAAATATTTTTTACGAAGTTTGTAAATTATATATCTCTAACTTGTTAATGTAAATTATAGTACATTTTTTAATGAAAAAAACGTAATTTTTTATGAAAGGTACAACAATAAATTTTATTAATGATGTATCGCTAATTACATAATGTTGTAATGTGTATTTTTGTCTAATAGATATTTTTAAATTATTATGATCAATATTTTTTTATGAATATATCGTTTTTATAACCGTTATTCTAGTTAAATATCTTTTTCTTATTTTTTATTTTTATTTTTTATATTTGAAACGGGATAGTTTTCAACATTATTGGAATTGTTTGTCTGTTTTCTTTTTTTTTAAATAAAAGCTTGAGCAGAAAAACAATGTTTTACCATAGCAGAGTCTGAAATTAGTTGATAAGCTGTCCCTAACAAGCTCACGAACAGGTTACTCTCCATGATAAGTAAGACTGCCCGTTGAGAAAGTGTTGCATATTTAAGAGGAAGGAAATGAGTTATATCGATAAAATACCAGTTTTCTTTGGTAAAAAATGATCTATGATAATTATAGAAGTACATCGTTATTGGAAGAGTAAAACATATACGTTAATTATTGTCTATTGTTTACAACTATTTTTAAATACGTAAAAATGGTTATCGAGTATCGGTAAAAATGTACTTTGCTATAATATCATAGAAAAGTAACGATTGTAATTTAGATTATTTATTATTATGCTAAGTCATCGTTTAAAAAGTTTTCCTTTTCTATTCTAACATGTCAGATTTTCGTAATTGATCTACACACCTGTTAAGTTTTGCTTTCATGCAGTTGTAGTCAATGTAAAGACGCGTGTAAAATATTCCAAAAAGTTGAGAGTATAAAAAAATTTACATCGTCACGAATACTATATTTTTTTCATTTTATTTCATTTCTTTTTTATTTTTTAACCTTTTTTTCTTTTTTTTTTTTTTTTTTTTTTTTTTTTCGTAACCACGAAGTCAAGTATCGTTACAACACCGGTTCTTATGCATCGCATATACACAGTCATAGTGTTGAATTAAGTAGTGGTTCTCAAACATTGATACGATCTGTACGTTTTTATTCTATGCCGTGCATTAATTCTTTTATTGTTGTTGCTTTTTTTACAAAACTAGGAGGCACATTACAATAATTTATTATCGCTCGAATTTGTTATTTGTTCAAAATGAAAATTATAAATCGACTTTACATGATCAAAAATGTGAGATTGTTCATAATCTGTGGAAATCGAGAAGCGGAAGGACACTATTATCTCTAACAGCTCTTTCTGAATACAAATGCAACCTGTAACTGTACATATACGCGAAGATTTCTGATTCTAAGCATAATCTCATAATCAACTCATAATCAACAATTAACTTTTTAAATGTTGGTTAATTTATAATTTTTTTTTTTTCTTTCCGTTAAACAAGAAATGTTCGTACAAATTTAATTACTATGTTTATAGAAATTGTAAATATTTATTATACTAAGAGATATGTTGACTCTTTCTGTAGTCTTTTCATACCAAGTTATCATGTCAAATATTTTCTTAAGTAGATAGCAATAGTAAATAAATTGATAAATAAATTGTTTATATACCATTTATTCTTTATTAACCATTATTGTTTATAAACTAAAATATTTTATATTTACACGATCTTTTCATTTTTATCATTTGTTAATTAACATTTATAAATGTGTCATTTTATTTGATATATTAAAATAAATATATATATATA